TATGTCGGAGTAAACGACAGAGCAGGGAACAGGCGTAAAGCCCTTTGAGCACCAACAGGCTGGTGATCTCTCTGCTGAGCAGCTCTGTGGCTCACCTGCTTCTATCCCAAGTAACTAACCGATTTGATGTCAGTCAAGTAATGAAACTCAGACTCTTAACTATTGTTCACCAGCTTTGCTTCATGTATGTTTCTTCATCTGGATGGCATGGAACTGATTCCAACTGATTCGCTTCGCAGTCCCTGTTACTCAGCCCTTGGGGTTAGACTGCTCATTGTACAGCCTGAAGCTTTCCTGGTATCGACAATGATGATCATGATTTCATCATCCTGAGGGGAGCATATCTGATAATTGCCTAATTCCAGGACTATGATTTCACTGCCTGCAATTTTTCCACTGAGGTGCTTGCGCAGCTGTACTGTGTTCTAGTGGAGTCTGAAAACTCTCAGCTCACTGTTGGGTGAAACTGTTGCAAAAAGAATGAGATTAATGTCAGCAGTGAGGAAGTTTATTGTAAGTGATGACACTGTATAGGCTCACTCAGGATGTTTACCAGAGCAACAGTTGCCAGGCAGATGAACTGTGTTTGGAAGATGCATGAGCAGACTTTTCTTCTTGCAGCAACTGCTAAGGAATGAAACATATTTCTTGTAATTACTTGCATTTTGAGTGACTCTATGAATGCTTGATTCATTAGTAGTGCCATCCCATTTTGCACAACTGCAAAAAAAAGGTCTGATTTTACACCTTTGGATCTCTGGAGAGACATGTTCACTTTCTTGTCACTACACCCAACTACTAGGAATATGTTGTCTCTATTTATAGGAGGCACTCCTTGCAACATGCAGGTAAATTCCCTTTAAAGTGTTTTCCTGGACGTTACTGTCTTTAAAAAGCCAGGTGTGCAGACAAATTCTTACCCCCTGAATATCAGCAGTCTATTAGGGATATGGCTGTGGGTTTTCTTCTCTCCCATGAAAATTTTCAAGACTTAGAACATTTTCCTATGCCAAACTGAAGTGAAAATAAGAAATTTTAAAAAATTCTACAGGTAAATTTTGTACTGGGTTCCTTGAACTATCTAATTGTATTGCAACCATGTAAATATTTAGACTTAGCTTTCTTAAATTGTTTTATTTTGTGCAAACTAATTAATTAAGTTTAAAAACGAAAGGCAATTTCAGACTGAAAACCAAAACACTTGTTTTGCTTTATTTGAGTATCCACAAGGGATACTTTGAAAACGGAAAACATGGTTTAATCCCACTGAATCTGGAAATGCATTTCCTGTAAATCATTTTATGTTTCACAGCTTGGCAATACCCCAAGGAAAGTATTTCATCTGACAGCTCCCAAGAATCTGTAAAGACTTAGTTTCACTCTCACTGTTTGCAGAAGCCTCACTGCCTCACTTATGGTGTAGGTGCCTTATTTCCAGGTTTGTTTCTCTATTTTCTGTAGAGAATGGTGGCTAGCAGAGCAGGAATAACCTAAGTGGGCAAACAGAAAAACACCACCCGGCTACGATGAATGACTGGACATGTTGCTTGATCCTTGGCGCTTTGTTGTTGTGATGGTAAAGGACTGCAGCCTCAGACACATGCTTGCTTAACTCATATGGATCCTGCAGATCCATACGCATATCCAAATTTTGATAAGTGTGCTGTCATCCCAGTTTAGCGTCTGATTTTCCCAGCACAATTTTCCTTTCCCCATCAAGCCCTGAGGGATTCGGATCTAGGTGTGTTTTAATGATGTCAACACGTGTCTATTAGTGACTGCGGCTGGGATTAATGAATCATTTTACATAGCGTAGCAAACAGCTACCTGGTGATTTTCATCACTACTGACCTGGGCTTTAGTCCAGCTTCTGACATAAAGGTGAAAACTTCTGTATCCTATTGCAGTTGTTTGGGCTGCAAATTGCTCCAGTGAATGCTTTTGCTAATAGCCTCTAAAGAAATAGTGAAGTACCCAGCAAATAATAATGCCATCCAGGCCCATGTGTATTGTAATGTATTGGCTAATCACCGAATGATATTTTTGTACATTCAGGTTCTCCCAGATGTCAGAATGGTGGTAATTGGACTCTCTCAGTGTATCTGTTGACAAAATGTCTTGAATCCTGAAATGTTTCATGAATCCATCCCATATGAAATTTTGTATTCAGAGGGCATTTTCTCAAATATTCATTCTTATTTAGCCATGAAGTAGTTTTCCTGAGAAACATTTAAAAAAACAAACATCAGCTGGTCTGAACCTAGAGCTGAGACTGTCCAGACCTCCTTGGATCTTAGGACTCACATGGCCCAATTTCTAGGTTTGCCTGGAAAGGAACAACCGTAGTTACTAGGAGTCTCTTTTAAACAGATGTTAATCTGTTTCCAATATGCCACTTTACTTCGTTAATAGCCCGCATTAAAGCCAGTGCTAATACTCAGAATGTAGGTATCAGTGCTAAAGTGATGGTTGTTCCTGTTCAAAGGTGTCAGTACAAGATGAAATAATCTGTGATTATAAGGAAATGTTTACCCGTGTATATCTGACTAGAGCTTGAAGTCTGTGTAATAAATTTAGAACAAAGTTCTTACAATAAATGTAAAAACCGTATTCTATTAAAGCAAACCGAGAATGAAAACTACCTGCACCATCAACCCCCTGGTTCTGTCCCTATATTCAGCCCCAATTTATCACATCCTGGCAACCTATCAATCATCTTGAACCACAAACCGAAAAGGAAAATCCCCATGAAAACATCACACTAACATTTCCTGGTTGTCATGGAATGCAGACTGTGGTTTTACCAAGAAGTCTGTTAACAACCTTGTGTCTAAGTATTTGTTTTTCTTTGACCTAGGTTTTTGTTTAAAGAGGGGCAGGGGTTTTGCAAACCTTCCATTTCGTTTGCTTTTTTGCATCTCTGCAGTTGTTAAAATAACTTTTTTTTTTTTTTTTTTTTTAATATAAGACAGCGTCCGCCTTGAGAATGAAACCTCTAGGTATTGTCTTGAAAACAAAGAAAAGCAGGGAGCAGTGCATGAAACATCCATATCGTGGACCAAAAATCTATGGAAAATCGACTCCAATGGGAAGAGTTTGCATGAGTCAGTGTTACTCATTATGTGTAATTGTTGCAGAACCATGGTGGAAATGCAGATTGCACCTGGCTTCTTACTATGACAGCTTCTAACAAGCCTCTAGTATTAATGATCAGGGTGTAACTCACACTTTCATGAAAGGACAAAGGGATTCAGTCTGCCTCAGCCAATTCTATCACACCAGGGGGCTCTACCTAGCAAATGTCTGTGGAACTGGAGTTAGTGATTTTGGCTGAGAAGTGTTAATTAAGCCTGGTTTAGATATGTGAATGGCAGAGAAGGGTTTGGGTGCAGCTGCTTGAGGCAGAGCACCAGAACTCCCAGGAAAGACAGGGAGAAGTGACCTGTGTGAAAGTTAATGTTCTCCGTCCTCATAAAACTCAGAGCAGGCTTAGGGGCATTCCGTGGCTTTGGGTTGAGTCACCCAGGTCTCGTGGTCTGGGTGAGATTAATGATGATGACAATTCAGGCATGTCTAGTGCTTTTTGCCTTTTTTAAGAGCTGTTATTAAATAATTTTGTCTTACAGCTGTAGTAAATCATGTGGATGTCAGGGAAAGATCATGGCCTGTCAGCCCCCAGAGCCTGCCAGCTGTAAAAGGGGGCAGAAGGGAAGGTTTGGACGCTCTTTGTGAGTCCACTCTGAGTCCACTCTGAATCAGCTTCTTTGAAACTTCAAAAGGGTTGAAGGGATCAGTAACAGTTTGGCACACAGTGTGAGCATTGCCTTGTCTCTTGAAAGAAATGAAAAAAATCCATCTTTTGCATAACTGTGTTAAATCCAGCTAAGTAGCATCAACATAAAGTTAATGGATTTGACCTTCCTGCACTATGGGAAAAGGTGGAACATGTGTTTAGATTTGGATTTGGCAATCATGTTTCTTCCTTGACTCAAAACAAGTCTATAAGCGTCAGCATGGAAAAAAAGAATTGAAGGAGTTAATTTCATTTAGACACCATCTTTTATTTTTGATAAGTTTTATATTGATACAACTAGAAATATTTTCATTAATTCAATTAAGGGTCCTCATTGTCTGGACATCAGAATAAGAGACCATAAAGTAAAAATTCTGGGTTTCCTGACAGCTTTGGGCAGTGTGCTCGGCATCTGTATTTTGCTGTTTTTAATATGTGGTAATTGCTGTCTTCACAGAGATGCTGGGTTTATGCAATTTACTTAGACTGTGAAATGTCATGTGAGTTTTAGGTACTGCTGTAGTCCTTTTTCTACCGCTTCACCAACAAGGTGTCTATACCACAGCAATGTTACAAACATTTTTAAGAGTAGGTGTAGAAGATAACATCGAAATAAAAACAGAGCATGCTGCTTCAACATTACTTTAGGGCAAGGTGTCAACTAATTGGATGGCCTTAAAACCAGTTTTGAGAATTGGATTGCCACATTTTTGCCTGGGGTTTCCTGGACACCCACCTGATCTCCTACGCTTCCTGGGAGCTTTGGTGCTTCTGCGTGCAGGTGCAGTACGGTTGGTCAGCCCATGTGCAATGAGCCTGATGCTTCCAGAAGTGTCCTGGGGTACAGTACATATGCTGCAGAACCAGACTGAGCATTTCCATGGAAAAATGCACAGGTGCGTAACTGTAGCCCACAGGTAGTTCTATTAAGCCTATTTGTGTAAATAAGACTATTTCTTTTCAACAGTTAGTGTTTAATGAATTGGCTGCCTAATAAGTGGGATTCTGACTATGACTGGATCTCTGGGTGGTACTGGAGGATATATTGTACTGTTTTAAAACCATGAATGGGCTGAAGTTTGGTGACAGCTGAATCAAATTCACTCTAAACAAAAGTGAACTTTGCTTAATATTTCAGTGAACTTGGGATGAGCTGTGAGGTTCCAATGCAACCCAAAGCAAGTGGATGCGGTATCTGCTTTCATAGCGAAAGTTCTTCAGAAATCAGCCTCAAGTTATTGGAAAAGATGTTGATGTTCCAAACAAATCTAGTTCAAAATCACTGTGCTTGTTACTTTTAAGTAGTCAAATAGATCTTTGTGATCTGATCTCCAAATTTAATTTAAGTCTTGGGCTTCACAGAGTGTGTTTAATTACCACCAAATTTAGGCCTGCTTTGTTCTACAGGGAAGAGAGAATCAAGAAGGGAAAACTAAAGAGAAGCCTTTTTCCTGTCTAGGTCACTTATGTTTAATACAGCTGCTGACTGGACAACTTCCAAAATAATGTCAGGCTTTGAATATGGAGCATTCAGGGCCAAAGTAGAAGTCACCCACGTGGCAGCTGTGAGAGCAGCTCCATCCCATAGCAGTAGTTGTGGGCCACATCCCTCTGTGCAGAGCAGCTATTCGTTGTGTTGTCATAAGCCAGCATCTGTTGGGATCTGCAACCTGAACGTCTGTTGACTGCATGTGTGACACTGCGTACATGTGGCAATGGCTTTTGAGTGTGCAGTGCTGCTCGGTGAGGGGTGTGGCCACAGAAGGTCTCTGGTCCATCAGCTGTCCCCAGGACCAGCGCGTCTGGCACTTGTGGAAGCACTGTGACTGTTTCAGAATCACATGTGGGAACTTGCTGAGACTGTCATTCCATATTAGTCCACTAGCTTCTCCTCAGACTGTGAAACTCAGCCCTATTGCAAAAGATTAAGTCCTCCGGGAAAGAAAAACGCATTTGTTACTGTGCTCTTCCACACAGGTTCCTCATTCTTGCCTTCAGAACCTCTCATGACATGGGTGCCATCAGAGAAATTTTAATAGAACTGTTTTTCCCTGGAAGAAGACAGCTTTGTCAAAATAAAGGCATTTTGAGAAGATGTGTTAGTTTTGTACAAATTTTACAAAACTAAAAATTATGTCATCTTGGTATTTTTTTATAACATATGATAATAAAAATACTAGGAACTGTAATCATCAAGACTGTTAAACAGCTATGCAGTGTATGTAGCTTTCATCTACATTAAATGTTTTTGTCAGCCTAAATAATTGAGGAGGCAGGTGGGAGAAGAGATATTTTTTACGTTCGTTTTGTGGAAAGGCAATCCAAGTAACAATAATGATGAATTATGTTGCCTGTGGTGAAAGTGTTTAAGATTGGATGCACAGCTTTTGAGCTCCTTTGGACAAGCAGTCATCAATGCTATTGGACTCCCACCTATGCTGTGAATTATAGTTGACTTCTCATACACCGCACAGTCTGGATATAATCTGGTGTTTTATTCTGCTTGATTGTTTCCAGTTACCTGTGGAAAGGAACCTTCCGTGCAGTTCACACTGAGTAGATGTACTGTAGATAGAACAACCTCAGTGTACCAGTGAACAAAAGTAACAGAAGGAAAAGCGCACGCCTTGATTACTACCGTCATTACTATCACCTATGTTACAGAAGAAAATAGACCATCAAGCAAAAACAACATTAGGAAAGTTGCTTGTTACTCACATAGCACATGTCTATGCAAATGTGCATGAATTGCATTTCAGGTCTTTTAGGAAAACAGTTATTATATGGCATCTTTTATTTCAAATAGATGGTACAGACACTCCCTTTTAATATTTGGAAAAGCCTGGTCTATTTTTCCCTTTCTTGCACATGGAACTCCCAATAAAATTACGATAAAAATGCCCCTCTTCACTGGGAATAATAGGCTGCTCCAACTAAATGTGCTTTGCAGTTGCCGTTTGAGTCTGGAGTTGCAACCACTTTTTTCTTTTGAGGGAAAGGTGAGGCAGGGGTGAAGTTAATTCACATTGCTTTCAAGCATCTTGATCTTTCTCCTTTTTCTCCACGCACATGATTATTATTAATAGTATTATCATTATTGTTATTATTAAGTCTTTCTTAGCCGTTCCTGTTAAAAAATATTACGAAGAAATGTTTATTTTTCCTCTCATTTTCCTCAGTCACAGACTTGCCTTGGATTATACCTTTTCCCCACCGTACCTGTTGCATTGTGCAGGCAGTATCTTTCCGACATAAAGATGAATGAAGTGTGATCTCCTCAGAGCCTCTAGCCCTTGTGCCTTTTGCTCAGTGTCTATATGAATTGTATGAGGCACTCCCCTCCTGTAGGCTTTGCATGTACTGCTTCTTCAGGGTTGCCTGGCTAAAGGCCAGAAAACAAATTGCAGAATGTAACTATAGCACCTAAATTTATTTTATTTTATTTTATTCTTTATTTTATTCTCATACTGCTTGCCATTTAAAGTTTGCACTTTCATGTGCAAACCTTACAGTATTATTAAATTAAATTCCATCTAAGACATCCTTTAATGTTGAACAGTCTTACTGCAGTACATACAGAAGCTCTGACATTGGTTGGCAGTAAGATGTTTGTGTGTGAGCCTGAATGCAGCAAGAGGAAGCCGTTCAAAGGGAGGGCGGTACTGTCAAGATGAATGAACAGGGAGCCAGAAGCTCATTCCTGTGAACTCTTACATAATGTGTATTTGGTTCTTCTCTATTTGCTCAAGCAGGCTGAGTCAGAACAGCTTAAAGTTAATCTTTCAGGGGGTATTTAACAGCATAACATTGTTCTCGTTTAGAATATCTGTGCAGCTCACTCAGGTTTTGTCTCAGGTAGGTCATGCAACACCAGGCCAATGCAAGTGTTCTGCTTTTGTCTAGCTTATAACAGGAACATGTTGCTCAAGCTAGTTCTGAAACTGGGGATTGACATATATATGTGAAGGATTCACTGTGAATGGACCACAATGAGATAATTAAGGAACTGTATGATCACAAAGGCTCTGACTGTACACCATTTCAGCTTTAAAACATTCTGTTATAAACGAAATATTTTATTTTCAAATACATTTGAATGTTCAGTTGGTTTTGCAGTAATGTGGCTTTCAAGACTTTATATTTACAACTGCTGGATGTTATTGTTAAGGGTATGTTAAAAGCGCTAGATACCTCAAAAAAGCATGTTGTACTGGTGTTCTTGGAAAGACTGAAGGTTTGGCTTGTGTCTCAGCCCAGCGAAGTGAAGTGTGAAGAAGGTGACTGAAAGTGCTAGCGCTCTTTCTGAACGAGTTGGTAGCTGCTGCTTGTTGCTGGTTTACCCTGAAAGCACTATACTGGAAAATAAATCATTTCCAGGTCTTTAGTGAAGCATGAAGTCCAACAATTTGTAATTCCTTTTTTCCTTTTCTTTTGACAACAGAATTCAATGTCAGTTGCAGATACGGAGGAGTTTTTCATGTTGAGAAAAATGGTCGCTACAGTCTCACACGAACTGAAGCAGTCGAACTCTGCAGAGCTCTCAATAGTACCTTGTCAACACTAGAGCAGTTGAAGAAAGCTCATGAACTTGGATTTGAAACTTGCAGGTAAAGAAATTCTTGAAAAAACAATGTATCATGACAAGTCCACCCATTCATGCTATAGTATAATAATTACAGTTGACTTTATATAGCTGTTAATTAGACAACTATATCAGTCCTCAAGTATTCTGTGATGAACAAAACATCCTTGTGAGTGTGTATGTTTGCTCTGGGTCCAGTAATAAGTCCTTGTCTGCATATACTTTTTACCAACTATCTTTAAAAAATCATAATCTCTTCCAGATAAAATCTAAAGATAACAAAAGATTGACAGTGTAATAAACTAATTAGGAAGATGTTCAGATCATACCATATCACTGACTAATTTGTAAGATGTGAAAAGTAGTTATGATTTTTAACGACCTGATGTAAGTTCGATGACTGAAGATGGTATATACAATGTGGGGAACCCTGTTGTGTCAAGAAACAGTAAAAAGCAGCAAGTGGTACTGCGAGGGGATGAACTCTTGACATCCCAGTGAAAAAATGGCCACAGTATTAGTGCATTCTTATAATCTGCGAATGGAGAAGTTTCAGAAGACAGCCATAAAAATTGTTAGAAAACCCAAATCTACAGTGTCAAGTGACTTAATTATCCTCTGTAATTAATGAGGTATGGGGCAGCAAATGTGGGTATTACAGATTCTTCAGTTTAGCAAATAATAACTAGACCAAGAGACTGGATGTTACAGAAAATTTTGGATTTGAACAATTAAGTGAGTACTAATTCAACAAAATATGTAATGATAATAATTATTGGCTGAGACAACTTACAAGGGTTGTAGTAGATTCTTTGTCACATCAAAATGTCATCAAGATGAAATATTTTCCCCAAGGATGCCCTCTGTTCAAACAGTAAGGGACTGTCCAGACAGTCCTATGGTCTATAAATATGTCAAACTAGATGATCATATGATCTTGCTTATACATAAAATACATAATACACTTATTATGCAAGTCATCCTAAAAATTCATATGCAGAAAAAATATTGAACTCAGGAGCTGCAAATTTTAAGGTGTTTTTTGGTTTGTTTTTTTTTTTTTTTTTTTTTTTTAAATCAAATAGCATAGATTCATGTTGGTAAACCACTATAGAGTTGAAATAAATTTCAGCAGATTTTAAACTTTATTACAATCTAAAATAAACAGCAAATATGGAGAAATTCAATTCATCTTCTAACTGACTGGAGTAGAAAAGTTCAGTGGACATTTCTCCAAAACTTTAAGACTTTCATTCTGGTATCAGGAGAAATAGTACTAGCAACAATACTGCTTGCAACTGTTTCACGTTAATTATTTCATTTCAATTTAGTCAGTGGTGCTTTACTTTTTTAACAGTGAATGTGTGAATGTTCTTTCCAACTGGCTTGCAAGCCCATGAGAATTGAATAGAGCTCATTTCAGATTAATAGTATCCGTACAAAATAATTTATAATCATGGAAAGATACATGTGCCACTGCACGAACACGTTGTTATACATATAACTGTCATTGATGGCAGTGTGTGGCACGTTCATTTTCGCAAGTGTTGCTACCTGCACAGTGGTGAAAGAGGTAGACAATAGTGCAGGGAACAATGGACAGAAAATTTTTAGAGAATTCTCCTGTGAGAAGTGGGAATGTCATTTAAAACAGTACCACATAAAGACTAGAGCCAATCCTTTACTCCAAGGAAAGAGTCCTGCATGACATAGCAGGAGTGTTCTTTCTCTAGCATTGGCATATGAACAGGCTTTGCGTTCTGAACTGTCCAGCACTACACAGTGTGTAGAGACTAAGGATCAAATCATAATTAAACGCCCAGGGGTAGAGATTTCTAGTGCTAGTAGTTATGAGTATTCTGCACTGTGGAAAGTCTTTTCTGAAGTTAAAATATAAAGATAAGTGGAAGAAGGAGTAGAGGGAAATGTTTTTACAGTGGAGATATGTAGTTTTTCGTTAATGTTACAATCTCCCTGATTCGCAGTTTAGCAGTGGACAGATTTGGACATGTAAGGCATGTAGATAGGATTCCTTCCTCCCTTCCTTCTGACCAGCCCTCCCACCCTCTTACTTTCATTTGTTGATCCTGTGCTAGAAGTTGCTGTCAGTAAATCTAGGCTGTTACCAAGCTTGAGTAGGAGAGAAAAAATATACTGCATCTAATCGTCAAAATACCTGTGGAACAGTGAGTGAATAAGATGACTCAAGAGACTGCAACACAAGTCGGTGATTAATGGATTATACATCGTAGGCTCAGGTGGAAGTGTGAGTAAAGCAGTTTATAATTCCACCTACAAGAGAGTTTCAGAATTGCAAGTATCTGCACATTAGACATGTAACTGGAATGGGACTCACAGACAAAAACCTGCAAACCTGTGATAAATTGTACCTCTCAAAATTAAACCAAAATGCAAACCAAACCCCAATTCTCGTTCCCATCCTATTACACCTCCCAGCTAAATACATTGGAATTAATGAGGCGTTACAGGATTGCAAAATAGTAATAGCGCATTGTGCATTATGGAGCTCTGTTAACCATGATCTTCACTGAAATATGTGAGCTCTGAACACAATAGCCAGATTGTTTGACAGAAAGATACAGTAAGAATTTGTAGACATATGAGTATTGTATCTGAATATTTTATGAAGTTGCCAGCTGTTGCAGAAAGTGATGTGTCATACAAGCGTTCTCTAAATTTGCTCAGGTACTATAAATTGAGCCTCCAACACTTCTACGTGAAGTGCCACTGAGCAGTATGTTGTACTCAAAGCAATGAAAATGTGACTCCCTGAAGAAAAAAGAAGCTAGTCTTTTCAAAACCATAACTTCTTGCAGACAAAATCAGACAGTACAGCCTCACACTGAATATGAAGTGTGCTTGCCTCCCAGTGCCTCACTTTCACTGCCCTGCTCTGGAACCGATTGTCCTGGCTACTAAGATGCTCACTTAATTAAAATGGGTTTAGCTCTTGCAATTACATGCAAAATGGTGTTGAATGGCTGGAGACTGATGTAGCCACATGTGAGAAAGGAACACCCATAGTATACAAAAAGTATGCAGAAATGTGTGCACTTTGCAGAAATAATGTAAGATGAAAATAATGGCTTCTTTTTAGCTTCTTCATGTTTGACATCTTATGCCACCTGCTCTGATACGTGGTATGCTGTATTTCCCTCTGCTCTTCACAGGTATGGTTTTGTAGTGGGGGGTATTGTTATCCCACGGATCAATCCCTATCACCTTTGTGCAGCAAATCATACTGGCATTTACAAACTTTCAGCAAACACAACCGCTCGATATGATGCGTACTGTTACAATGCCACAGGTGTGTATATACATTTGTGATGTGTTTTAGATATAGATTAACTAACAATAACATAGGTAATCTCCTGTTTAAGGTACTGGAATGAGGGTGTCTATATTCAGTGGAGAGGAAATCCATTTTGTCAGCCTCTAGAAGTGTTTCTATAATGCCAGCAATGAATTTGACCCATTTTGTCATTAGTGTGTTTTGAACTAAACCACATTCTGCCCTTGGGACTAGCTTCAGAATGGTTCATTATAGTGGGTTTTGAATTTTGTAATAGTTGGAAATATTTTACTAAATTATTAGGAAAATGTGGATAATCATGTGGCAGATGCTGAACACAGTATTTGAAGATAAAATCTGGACTAAATTGAAGTGTCTTGAATTTCAGTGGATTATTACATTCACAGTGGAAACAGATCTTACAGAAAGCTGTAAGCAAAATTTATTGATGATTTGAATGGCAGTGACAGTTCTTGATTTTGTTTTTGGTTGTCGGATCATTAGAAATCATCTTTGCATTGGCATAGTATCAGGTGAGCTCTGTCACCCACGGATGAGTCTTCTCCTGCTACAGAGATGTCCATCCCTACCAGAGCCTTATGACTCCTCCTGAGTCTCGTTCCCTTCCGGCACCATGAGCAGATTGCTCACACACTGGCCCAGAGCGTGGCACTGCAGCCCCAGGGCACACCATGCCTGAGCAGAGCCCTCCACAGAGGTCAGCTAAAAAGGATGAGAGCTGCCACTGCCACCACGACCATGGGGCTCTGCATTGAAACTGAGTCATAAGGCTATTTTAACTGACGTTGATGGCAACTATTTTCTGGAATGGTTCCGGAAATGGAGAATCTCCTCATTAGCTGACAGAGCAATCTTGAAGTGCCCCACCTGGAAGGGAGCAAAAAGGGAACGTAGGTAGATCAGTGAATAGCATTTGATTTGGGAATTTGTTTTTCAATTGTTTACATCTGAAGCTGACATTTTGTGATTATGTACAATATGAGTATCCACGTGACTTTGTTCTCAGTTTTCTCAAATTAACATTTTCGGTTTTCCTTCTTTTACAGAAACAAGGGACAAAGCATGTGAGCCAGTTGAAAGACTAGATGCTTCTTTCCTCAATAATCAGGATGAAATAGGTACTATACTGATTAGGAAGACCTGCCACGTTTCATTTTTAGGACTTGGTTATCTTTTTTACATAAACAATTGCTGATATTAAAAATCAAGCCAAACATAAGAAAAAGGAGCCAAGAGATGTTCAACAGCAATTAAAGCAATTAGTCACTTATCTTCCCCTAAATCCTAGGGACCTTGATTTTTCTCAAGGTGCTACCTATTTTTTCCGTAGGTATTTGACACTTTTTAGCACCTCAGAGCTGCTAATGTTTCTTTGACATACAGGACTTTGCTTAAGATCTTTCTACATCTCATTTGAGCTGCTGGTTAGAAAAGCAGCTGGAAGTGGAAGGAAACTCTCATAATAAATTTTTTGTCCCAATTCTAAAATTCTGATTGACTTTACAAAGGCCAAGACTTTAGGCTCAAAATCAAACTGTATGAGCAAAATATCAAAATATTTGATGCAGAGTAGGCCCTACGTGTTTGACTAATATATACGTTAGTATATATACGTTAGACATAGTGATGTATGATCCAGACAGATTAGATAGGAGAGCAAAAATTGATGAACCGATATTAATCCACAACTGTTTATTTTTTTGTTATAGGACTTAAACTGTTTAGCACTACTGAAATACAGCTATGTAGCTCCTTGGTATTATTGGTTGCTTAATTTCCTCTTTCCAACAGTCATTGACAATGCGGATGGTTCAAGGTATAATGCAGATGGCACACGTCATAGTGGAGAGTCCTCAACCTCCAGTGCGGATGATGAAAGTGTAGGTAGTGGATCAGCACATGACACAACTCCCATGGATACCTCCATCAGGAGATCCAGCCCCTCATATTATGGAAGTGCTACTCCAGTCTCACAGCTGCCAGATCATTCTTCTGGAGGGGGTGAAAAAGAAAATCCTAGACAAGATTCTGGTAAGGACACTAGGTTGCCACTATATCCCCTTTAAGATAACTGAGTGAAGGATTACATTGCTGGTTATAGGCTATCATGAGGGAATGAGAAGCACCGTCTGTAATTTGTGTCCTGGAGAAGCAAAAGGAGAATGTGTGTCTTTGAAAGAAAACAGAAGCACTCTGAATTTCTAAGGATATTTTTGATTGCGCAGGAGTACAAGCAGCATAGTACATCAGCATAGTTTCCACATAAAGCTTCCCAGGATACTGAGAAGATGGTTCTAAGAATTTGCTGATGTTCTTACTAAAATATTTATTTCATTAAAGGCTCAAAAGAGCACAGAAAAGTTAGTGAGGCTGAGGGTATGGGTGTATTGAGATAAGGATAACATATTCTTATCTTCTCTAAAAGGATGAATTGACATTAAGTAATAAGAACAAGGAGGAGTTTACAGTACAAGTGATTTCTCTTTGTACAGGGTTTTTTTTTAGGACATCTTACTACAGCATATTACAGAATGCACAGAGAGATAAAAATGTCAAATTAAAATGTCATTAATATCTCCTTCCTTTAGGTGGCAAAGCCAAATTCTTTTTTCTTGAAGCCCTGCCAAGTACAAACACCATACTCTTTTTCTAGGGCATTCCGCAGGGCGGCAAATTAGTGAATTAGAGTGCCTTGTCTGTATCTTGCTTTCTTGTGGAAACCTGTGTGTTTTATTTCATCTTTTATGCTGCTTGTGTGGCTGAAATTATTGGAGGTCTGACAGACTAGCTCCCAGTGAACCTAAGGGATACAAATATAATTCATCTTCTGGGTATAGTAAGGTTTACCATGTGACCTCTGAGTACAGGCTTTTTATCAGATCACTGATAACTTACCAGTGAAGGACACCAGTAGTTTGCATCATTAGCCTCAATAAATACGGAAATTAAAAAAATTATAAAAAATATGTAATTATATATAGAGAGATATAATTATTCATCTATCACCATACAGATGATGTAGTTTCTCCTGTATCACCTGACTTCTCTTCGGTGACGGCAGCTGATGATTCCCCTGGAAAAGATGGTGGACAGTATCCTGCAAGTACTAGTAAGATTTATGTGTTATAATAGCAACATCAAATATAGATTGCATTAAAACTGCTTTCTTCTTCCAGCAGGTCATTCTGGTAAGTGGTGAAGTAAACATCACCTCCCATTTTGGAAGGGCATTGAAAGACAGTACTTTCCAGACTGGTTCAGTCAGAAATTAGCTTCACTCTCTGGGACAAGAGGAGCAAAAACATTTATTCTATGTTTATTTCATTTCTTATACATGAGTTCAGAAAGATTGTTTTGTGTTTCCCACTGTATTTTATCACACCTACTTACTCTATGAGGCATCACAAATTAGCACAACAAATTATCCCTTGAAGTCAATTTATTTCTGAGGTAGAAAAGGACATTTTTGTCAATTTGTGATGAAAGTGTCTGTGATTCTAATGCATTTATGGTTGTGAATGTGAGTAATCCACATCAAAACCACAGCCTTGCTCACCAAAGCAGTGCTTTAAGTGGCAGTTCCTGTTGCCAAGCCACTGGTGCACTGCAAAAACGAATTCCGTCCTTGTTGGCAATGTGCATGAGAAAAAACTGGGACCTGTGGTGGCTCCACAGACTTTGAGGGCTCAAAAGAACAGTAGCCATTTTCTCTGCTTTGTCCTTAAATGGCTGTCCTGAGTGGGAAAAACTGCTTGTGATGTTTTTATCAAATATGTAGGGCACAGCAGCCACAGCAAATAAAAAACTTTTAAAGTCATCTTACATGTTTTAAACTGGAACTGTACAAATATTCACTATAGTTCTTAAGTTTAGAGTGATAAACATCTTTGCACCAGTAAACAGAGTGAACCTAAAGGGAGAACATTTTAATTATGTAGAGGAGATCTACAGAGGTATGTTGTAGTAAAGATTGAACTCATAGAAATGAAATTTTCTTCCTGGTGACTCTTTTTTTTCTCGCCATGGAAGCTCACGATAGTGAGGAATTTGCTTGATTGTTGATTGCTGATAGATAGTCAAATGGTCTATGTGACTTACAGGGATGGTGCCCTCATTACTGTATTTAGAAATCACAGGATGGAGTAAGAATGATTGTGTGTCTTACACAGTTAGCAAAAGCTTTAGTAAAAGACAGAGATCATTTAACCAAGCATCTTGTCTCAGAGGACGTGAAGGTTAGTAACACCTCATAAATATATAGAAGGAAAAAAGAAATACCAGGTTGATTTTCTCACAGACCTTGAAAGCAAGCAGAGAATTTTCTGGTGCTTGTTTTCTGAAATCTGGCCTGTAAGGGGCAGGGAGGGAGGAATCCCACCTGGTAACAGCGGGGAGTTTGTCTGGTTGATTCTGGTGGTGGTTTTTCCTTCATATTTCTTTGCTTTTGTATGTGTGTGTGACTTAGTGCTTCCATGTACAGATGTTTCTGTACCCACTGCACAAACGTGTGCATTGTCTCTAAGCAGGAAAGCTTTTGTTTTTCCTTTGACTACTTGATTATCAAATGTATTGATCCTAAATATGTATAGTCCCTTCCTGTTGCTAACAGTTCTCTGTCATGGGCATGGCTATTTTACAGAGAGAGAACTAGAGGAATTTAAGATTTTAAAAGATCAAAATAACTTTAGTGCTATGTAATAAAAGATGTCAATACTGATATTTGTGTATCACAGAAGTGGTAGCGTTGGCATGACTGCTTATTGGTCAGGGTTGATAGATTGATTCTCTGGAAAAAAAGATTATTGGAAGCTGTTGCCTCCCCCCTCCCTGGCAGTGCTCAAGGCCAGGCTGGATGAGGCTTGGAGCAACCTGGTCTGGTGGAAGGTGTCCCTGCCCATGGCAGGGGGTTGGAACTGGGTGATCCTTAAGGTCCCTTCCAACCCAAACCAATCTGTGATTCTATGATGCTGCACCTAGGCTTTTCTGATAGCTTTAGCTATTACTCAGCAACATCAATTTAGGGCCAAACAGACTCATTTAATTTAATTTTACAGCATTACAAATGAATGAATAACTTAGGACTCCTTTCAGAAGTTAAGTATAAGCTATACATCTCCATGAGAAGTCATCAGATATTCAGTAGCATAGGAGAAAGTTGCGTGGAGAACAAACAAAAAAGACGATAAAGCCATGCCCTAATGTCTGCTATTTACATTGTGCAACATTGCAGGCTCTTTGGAATATTCTGGCCACAATTTAATTTTTCAGAGAAAAACCCACAGGCAGGAAAGTAGAAAATGAAGAAACAAGTCAAGAAAACTGTTCAGCATGTATCTGCAGATAGATGGCTAAAAATATCTATCTGATTCTATAGTGTCTGAAAGTGAGAAACAAAACTGGTGGCTCTCCATCTATACTACACACCATTTGCAAACTTAAGGTTTGGTGAAAAGTTGTCTAGCTTGATCAAAACACTGCTGTGGGTTTGAAATGAGCAATTGCCACAGCTCCTTGTTCTTCAGAGGATCCCCTTTCATTTTTGCTCTGGCTTTGGACTTTATTGGTGATGTTCTCCATCAAGTTCATGGTCCAGATTATTAATACACTGCCAGCACTTTGCCATTGGCTTTCTCTCCTAGCTGAAACAAGTTTTTCCATTTGTTATTAACAAGTTATTATTCATCTGTAGATGTGCCATGGATAAGACGATGTAAAATTCTGCTGATGATTGATGAGATACTTCTCCAAGTTGTCAGAGCTAGTTACTCAAACAGTAACTGTGATTGATTTTGTTCATCTCTATATTTTTTAGATATTTTTATGCTCTGGTGGATGTTCCTTTTATTTGGTTTGGAGCATTCCCTGGGAAAAAAACCTCATTCATGAAAAAAGTCTTATTTCCATACTTTGGCTGATCTGACAGTAAAGTGTTTTGTGTGTGGAAGGAAGCCAGGAATTCATCAAGAAAATGAGCTCCTAAGGCTTGTTGTGGAAAGCAGGTAGAGGTGAGAATTTTGCTGTGATTACAGCAAGTCAGACAGAAATTACTTAGTTACTCAGTTATTTTCTTGTTCACCAGGTTTTTTTGGTATTATCGTTCTGTTCACAGTTCTGTCCCAAAGCGCCAAATCGGAGACCACATGAGTTTTGATGGTCTGTCGCTCAGAGATCAGATTTTGAATGTCCAGGTTTCACGTTTCTGACACCAGTGTCAGAATAGTAAAAGCAGTACTAAGTTTAGGGAGCAATTAGTGACTGTGAGAAGAGACAGTATTTATTCAGTCAAGGACAGCATTTCAGAGAGGCAAAATCTGTTAGGTTTTGCTGCCAAAATAGCTTTTCTTCATATTAAAGATGCAGAAGTAAGGTGGTCTAAATGATGATAAAATGTGCAGTTCTGCATTTAAGTCCATACATTTGTACACTTTGCGGTTTACAGATAAGCAAAACATAACTACTGCAGACTGAAGAACAGCAGTATATCCTGTTCAATCATTAGAACTTTGATTCCTAGGTCTCGCATTTTCTGATGCTTTCACCTACTGAACAAAAATTGATCAAAATTAGCATCTTTGATGTTAGTCTTCAAGGTATTTTTCTAAAGTAATTATTTAAAGATTTTTTTCTGAATGAAAAAGAATGCATGGTATCTTTTCTTCATATTCAAGGTATAGAAGTAAGATGGTCTAAATGCTGATAAAAATATTGCTTGGAATTGCTAGAATAAAAATATTTCCAGAAAAAAATTTTGAAGTAGATTTTGCTTTCTTTTGTGTATCACTTGAAGTGCAGCTCTTCTTACAAACTGCTTCTCAGTTTCTTGATGAATAACTTAGCAGAGAAAAAGGTTAAACTATCAACTGGCTTGCTTGAGGGATTTCTATTTCTATGGAGTGCATGCTTCTATTAGCTTTGAATGCTTTTTGTCAAAATATTGGGACATATTTCACATACAGCACTTATTTTGATCTGTCCTAAATGCTATGCAGAATTCATTGTCTTTACTGGACATTCAGAGCTGGTAATACAATCTTATACCTTAGTAGAATGTTTCAAACTTTGTTACAAAAAAAAGCATTGGATATTTTTGCTGTTGGAGGAATGTAATGGCACCACCGGTAGCGAAAGAGCAGTTATCCACATTGTTCATGTACTGCGGAGGCACTC